TGTTGAAAATCATCTGATTTTTCCGAGCAAGATGTCACGACTAAACAGCCCGACGACGAAGCGGACTACTGTGAAGAAGCCACCACAGGCGGTCAAGCGATCTAGTTCGCCCGGAAAGATTCAGCAAGTCGCAGGCCGTGCAGAAAAACAAGCTGGTGGTAGTCATGGAGCAGGTTCGAAGAAGCCCTCCCCGTCCTCATCAGTGAAGAGATTCAACAAGGTTGTGAAGCACGACAAGCCGTGGAACTCGTCGACCACGGGAGTCACGTGCAATGGCATCTTTCCTCCCCATCCATCTAGCGCACAGAGCAGCAATCTTAGCAAAGGAAATCCGCAGAAAAGCGTCTCGTCCGACAAATCGTCTCTCTGCGCCAGTGCGTCTGCAATTTTTCAAGCGGCCAAGGGTTCGTCCAACGCGTCAAAATCGCAATCGGCGAAAGCAGCTTCCAATCCTTCTCGTTCTCCTGGGAGTAGTTCGCCACAGCGAGCTGCAAAAGTAGTGAGGACCGGAGTTGCAGCAGCAGTGGTTGCTGGTACAACCTCTGGACCACGAAACACGAGAGCCAAGCAGACGAATGGCACACTGCGGTCGCCGTCGCTCGGTGCGGGGACCAAGAGCTCGCAGCTGTCGAAGAAGACAAAGCTGTCCTCACCCGACACCGGCGGGAGGAGACCGCCTACACCAGCACCAACGCCGATTCTGGCAACGGCAAGTGATTTGCTGATCTCTAGCGGTAGGCAGGATCAGGAAGCATTCGCGGGCTCTTCGTCTGCCGGTGCTAGTTACAGAAATGATCCTGAAAAAGGTGGACACCCGGCTAGGGCGGGCATCGACGATGAGAAGAAAGCCTCCGTCGGACCACCACGACAGGAAGATCTGCGGTCCCTGAATCACAAAGAGTTCCTCGCCCGATTGTCTTCAGGCCTCGAGGAAATGGTCAAGCAAAGGCTTTCTCTCTCACCGCTAGCCGTACCGCTTTTTCCTGCCACTACCGAGGACGCCGATGCGCAAAAACATGCTGCTGCGGATAACGTTGTCATCCGCAAATCTGCAGGGTCATCTGACCAACAGAAAGAAACAAACCAGAACAGTGCAGGAGCCGGAGTTCAGCTCGACGCCAGTGCTCCTGCTTCCCCGGATAAATCGGATCACGGCCTGATGCTCGCCCCCTACCTCGTTTCTTCCGAGGACGAGGCACCAAAACTCCCTTTCCTGCCCATCGCTGCTTCCGCTCCCGCAGCAGTGCAGGGAGGAATCAAACAAAGTGAGAGCCCATCTTTGCTGTTGAAGTCGTCCCCGCAACTAAAAGCTCAACAGGTCGCGGAGCAGGACCAGCAGTCCATGAAGCGGCCGCCCCAACCCGCGGATCGTTCGCGCACCAAAGCCTCGTCGCTGTCGCCGAACCCGAAACCCAAGCGGCAACGCCGGTCTTCGGCCGCGAACCCCAAAGGAAAGGGAAAGAAGGCCAAATCGAACGCAGCGTCGCCGGAACTCGAGCTGAAACCCTTCGAAAAGCCCTGGGGGGAGATGACGGAGCAAGAGCGACAGAGTCTCGGGGTGCTCGACCGCATCCAGCACAAGCAGGGCAAGCCGCGGGTTTCCCTGGTGGTGCCAGAAGAGCGACAGGGGTACGTGGTGGATAAGAAGAAGCAGGAAAAGATGAACGCGCTGTACGCCCGGCTGGACCGCGCGTACAAGAAGTGCAGCATCGAGCAGATCCACGCCGAGCTGGCCCGGCGGCGGAAGAAGCTCGAAAAAGAAGAACAGCTGAAGAACTACTGCTGGTGCGGGGTGTGCCGCCCCGCCAAGGGTCCGTGGCGTCCACGGCGAAACACGCTCGTGCAGATGGGTATCTTGAAGGAACACGAAAGCATGGATGTGTGGGAAGATAGAAAGAAAGAACTGCGCGAGAAGTACCGAAGAGAAAACAAAGCAAAAGACGGCGATGAAGATGAAGATGCTGAAATAAAGGCTGAAGGAAAGGGCGTCGAAAATAACAACCAGAAGATGAATCGAAGTGAGGAGGAAGCATCAAAAGAACTGCACAAACAAAACGAGCAAAAAGTTGATCACCTTGTGCTCGTTTCCCACGGCAAAGAACCAACTTCCGAAGAAAGACAGCCGTTGACGACGGTACATGAAGAGACCATTCTAGAAGACACTGCACCCGTTTGCGAAAACGTCGAAGAACAGGACCTGTTGGACGAGTTTCAGATGGCCGAACTGGAGCTGCTTTGCGAGGAAATCGAAAAGAAGGGCGCAGATGATGAAAAAGCCGGTAGTGGTACGGGTGCATCAGCGTCCAATGTTGCTGTCGTGCAGGCGTCAGGAGGTAGTGGCCCCTCCTCGTCTTCAGCCGCGGTGTCTTCTTCAATAAAATCGCGACTGCAGGCACCCTCCGTGTTTGCTCGAGGCGGCTCCGCGCCCGCAGTTTTGGCGACTTCGAGTAGCAAGCTCAGTTGCCGTCCTTCAGCCCTACCCGGTGCGGAATCCGCAGCGCGCGCACAGAAGATTAAGCCTTGAGTAAATAGATACTAATACAGAAGTCGAAGTGACATTTATTTTACATTTTCCGCTGCTCTTTCTAGCTTCCCTGCTTTGGTACTAAAACTACCTAAATAAAAGCAGCAAATCTGATGAGCTGGTGCTGAGTCAGCTTCAGCGCTACGACGCAAGCGTTGACTTCACCTGGTCGCGTGGTCGTCCACCTGGGGGAGATAACGACGCTTAAGTCAGTCCGATCACAACTTTTGAGGCTATTTCTCGAACTACTATTCTGTTTCTGATGTAATGTTGTTTGTGTTTTGATCACATAACACATGATTGCCGATGATGATGTCGTTCTACTTGAATCATTCATTGTGGCTTTTGAGACGAACAAATGCACCAACTTCTTTGACACTGTACCAAAATTGCTGGCTCTTGGCGACGGGCACAGATCTCTCCCTTGGCTTTTGCGCACCACTTCACCGCGTGCTGGTGACACTTGGCTTGTAATAGATCCAAGGCGCTGCTCCTGCTGACCCACCTTCGCTCCGGTTGCTTCGTGGTAGTTTTTTTTTCGCATTTCATTCCAATCCCAATCGACATCGCTTCGTAGTTCGCTGGTGGCAGGAGATAATGCACCGCTTCGCACTTCGTTTGTCGCATGTTGACGAGTGTATGAGGTTAGTAGTTCGGCATGGTGGAGAGAGATCCGGCCATGTCGTGTGTCGACTCGTTTCAGGTGATCGTGCCCGAAAATCGCAAATCGCGCATTCGCATGCAAATAAACGACCGAAACGCATTACCGGCATTAGTAGCATGCTCGTACGTGTACTACACGGATGATAAATCCAACTCAGAGACGACGAAGAGTTTTCAACATCAAGATCCAGAAACAGTTCTAGCTCTAGGCAAAGACACCGCCACGCGAAGATGTCCTCGACCAGGCAAGCAAGTCAAACGGGAGGTGGTGCAAAGGGCGTTTCTCAGCCCAGCACAGGATCCACCTCTTCTACGACTCTCTCGCAGCAAGCACGTCGGTTTTCGCTTCCCGCAACACGGGTCCCAGCCCCGATTTTGTTCAATACGCAGCCAGCTGGAAGCGGCAAAATCAACTTGCAAGGTGGCGCGACTAGCAGCAGCAGCAGGATCGTGACTTCAACGCGCGTTGTCACGACTGGACCTCGTCCCACGACTGCAGTCAGTGGTAGTGCGACTGTCGCACCAGGGTCGCAGAACAAGGTTTTGGATCGCGGGAGCTCACCCATGCCACGAAGCCTGCTCACGACAGGGCCGCCGATTCACGCGGCAAGTCGGTCCACGACACCTCGTCTCCTCCGATTCGACCCCAGCACGATGGGAAAGTTTACAAGTGTCAGTCCCGCTGTCTCACGTTCGGTCTCTGCCGCGCGGTCGCCCAGTGTGACAGGCGGCACGCCGACGCTCGTGCAGCATCCAACGCCAAGACACAGCACGACCACGCTGCCAGAGGCGCCTTCTTCCGGAAAGAAATCTACTACAGCTGCTGGGGGTAGTGCAAATAAGAAGGAGCCTGAAAAAAAGCCTGCTCCGAATTCAACTTCAACGACGAATGGTACGATCAACCCGCCACCGAAGCAATTTTTGCAGGTGCCGGGTGGTGGGAAGGTCCTATCGACGCCCCAGGTGAACACGAAGCTGACTTACTACACGCCCACGGTCCCGAAAACCATTCTGCAAACGTCTTCGTCCGTGCCTGCGATGATTCCGGGCACGGCGTTGAATTTGAAAACAGATTTTGGCAATATTCCCACGCCGACGATCCAAATACCGGCCGCGACGTCCAGCCACAAACCGGCTCAAACAACAACCTCAGTCGCGAAGCAGAAGTCACCGGCTTCGGTAGTTGCGCCCTCTCCGCGAGGCGGTGGGTCAACATCGGTTCAAGTTCCTGCACCGTCGAGTGCCGTCAAAGCACCATCCGCGATGCGCGTTCCCTTCGGAGTGATTGCGGGCCCGAAGCCGTTATCGACCGATCTTCCAAACCGCACCTGGGATACGCTGCCTTTG